CCACAAAAAAGCCTTTCCCCGTCTTTATCCTGTACGTAGGCTTCTTGGCATGTTCTCTCCCCGACTAGATCATGAACTCTCGGAGGTCAGGGACTGTCTTTTGCCTCTTTTCATGTCCCAGGCCTTAGCCTTGTGCCTGACACATAGTAGGTGTTCAGTAAATGCTTATTGACTGACTGACTAGTAAGTGTCGGAGGTGCGATTTGAGTCCAGGGCCTCTGCCTCTAAAACTGGAGGCCTTTGAATTATGTCCAAGGAGAGTAAAGGCAGCCGTTCCCCAGCTGTGCCTGTGACCCTGGGCAGAGCCTCAGCTCACAGGTTTCATCTGCTTCTCTCTTTTGAGAATCTTTTTGAAAATTTAGCGTTTGCCCTTCCCTGCACCTACGCTGCCCCTCCAGCTCTTCCCAGTTTTTCAGGAACCCCTGAGAAGGGCTCCGGGACCACGTCTGTTCTGGGGCCCAGGAGATCAGCCCTCACTAATGCTTTACATGTCTTTCCTCAACTATAAGAGGAAGAGCTTGATCCAGAAGCCCCCAGGCCTCCAGCTCCTGCAGAAGGCTTTGGAGTTGGGTGTCCTGAACTTAAATCCTGCCTCCGTGGGACCTGGGCAAGAGACCCGACCTCCCCAATTCTCACCTTCCCCAAACGAGGTCACTGGGCTGGGGCGGGAGGCTTCACATTGCCACCATTTGTTCTCTTTGTAATCCTATGTCTTGGATGCACTTAAAAGCATTTCTGAGAAGGGGTCAGTAGGCCTCCCTCCCCAGACTGCCCAAGGGATCCGAGGCACCCGGGAGGTACAGAGTGCCCCGGCCAGAGGGGCTCCCTTTCAGGTCTGCATTCGCGCTTCTGTGACTGCCCTACACCCAGGCTCTTCCCTTCTGCCTGTGTGAGCTGGGGCAAGTCGGTGAACCAGCGGGAGTCAGGTGCCTCCTGAGTAAAATGAAGGTGCTGGACTGACCATCCCTGAGCTCCCTGGGATCCTATGAGCCGCCTTAGGGGAAGTTTCACAAAAGGAAAGTGGAGGTAACTTTGAAGTCTCATTGATTATGGCCTCCCCAGATACAGACCTGACTGCAGCTCCTGTTAATTTTTAATTAGACCATTAAATTGCAAAGAGGTTTTACAAGACATTAATGACAGCTGGTAAAGAGCTAAGACTTACACTCGTGGGGAGCTGGTCCTCATGCCAAATAGCAGAGTGACCCTCTTCAGACCCCAGCCTGGGAGCCCCAACCTCCTCCTTCTTATGCTGCTAGGGGAAATAGCCCACTGTGACTATATGCGTCGAAGCAGAGGGAATTGTGTCTGACGTGGTGAGTGCAGACGAAAGTGTGTAAACCCAGAGCCTCGGATGCCTAATGACCAGGCCCGTGCTGGTAGGAGGCCCCTCCCAGAGGCCTGGCTCCTCTGAGCCTCCTTTTAATCTTGCAGGTCAATGACTTCCCATGCCACTCAGCTCATGTTTGGGCCAGTCAGCCCTCTGGCCAAGGGACTGCCTGGCTGTGCCTCCAGCCCAGGATTATTCATGTAACGGAGTCCTGCAGCCTTGAAAATGTGTTTTTGTACCTTTAGATCTATGTGGCCCTCTCCCTTGGCCCAGCCACCCCTTCATCTAGGAGCTCAGCAACAACTATGATAGCTTTGTAACTAGTCACTTCACCTCAGTTTCCTCATCTATTAACCGACCTAAAAAGACTTTCATCACTGGCCTCTTAAGAGAACTCTTGGCGGCCTACACATGCTATAGATCTGTGAGCTGATGAGTGTCATCTGAGACGTCCAACATTTCTCACTGTCCCATTTCTTTTTTTTCTGAGATATTTAATATTTTATTTTTCCCAGTTCCATGTAAAAAGATTTTTAACATTTTTTTTTATTTTAAGTTCCAAATTCAATCCCTTCCTCATTATTGAGAAGGCAAGCAGTTTTATATAGGTTGTACATGCGCAGTCACACAAAACCTATTTCCATATTAATCATGTTGTGAAAGAAAACACAGACACCTCCCCCCCAATAAAAACACCAAAAAAAATTTTAAAAATTATGCTTCCATCTGCATTCAGACTCCATCAGTTCTTTCTTTGGAGGTGGATAGCATTTTTCATCATAAGTCCTTCAGAATTGTCTTAGGTCATTGTATTGCTGAGAATAGCTAAGTCTTTCACAGTAGATCATCATACAGTATTGCTGTTATAATCATCGTACAATATTGTGTTCGCTTGGTGCTGCTCACTCCACTTTGCATCAGTTCATGTAAGTCTTCCCGGGTTTTTCTGAAAGCATCCTGCTCCTCATTTCTTATAGCAGAATAGTATTCCATCACAATCATATACCACAACTTGTTCAACCATTCCCCAATTGAGGGGCATCCCTCAGTTTCTCATTCTTTGCCACCACAAAAAGAGCTGCCACAAATATTTTTATGCATGTATAGGTCCTTTTTTCCTTTTTTTTTTAATCTCTTTGAGATACAGACCTAGTAGTGGTATTTCTGGGTCAAAGTGTATGCAGTTTTATAGTCCTTTGGGCATAGTTCCAAATTTCTCTCCAGAGTGGTTAGATCAGTTCACAACTCCATCAACAGTGCATTAGTGTCTCAATTTTCCCATATCCCCTCTAACATTTGTCAGTTTCCTTTTTTGTCATGTTAGCCAATCTGATAAGTGTGGAGTGGTACCTCAGAGTTGTTTCAATTTTCATTTCTCTAATCAATTGTGATTTAGAGCATTTTTTCATATCACTATAGACAGTGTGATTATTTTGATTACTTTGTCTGAAAACTACCTGTTTGTGTCCTTTGACAATTTATCAACTGATGAATGAGGGGAATGGCTTGTATTCTTATGAATTTGACCCAGTTCTCCATATATTTTAGGAATGAGTGAGGCCTTTATCAGACAAACTTGCCATAAACATTTTTCACAGTTATGATTACTGTGTATTTCCCTCCATCCTATCTCCCCTCCTCCATTTATCCTTCTCTCTTCTTTTACCCTGTCCCTCGTTGAAAATGTTTTACTTCTGATGACTGTCTCCTCCAGTCTGCCTTCCTCTTTTACCAGCTCCCCCCACTTCTTTTATCTCCTTCCTTTCCTACTTTCCTCTAGGGTAAGATAGATTTCTATACTCTACTGAGTGTGGGTGTTGTTCCACCTTTGAGCCAATTCTGATGAAAGTAAGGTTCGTGTGCTCCCCCCCACCTCCTGACCATCTTTCCCGCCGCTGTAAAACTCTTTTGTGCCTCTTTTATGTGAGATCATTTACCCTATCTTACCTCTCATGGTCACTGTCTCATTTCAAGGGCTGCCTCCTGCCTTCCTGAGGTTGTAGAGTCCAGGCATCCAACCTGAGGAACTGTGTTTTTTCTACTCCTCTCTGCCCTCTCCTATTATTCATTCAGCAATCATTTATCAAGTCCCCGCTATGTGCCAGGTGCTGGGGACACATGGAAAAAAAAAAAGTGAAAATCCTGCCTTCAAGAAGCATACACTCTATTAGGAGAAATGACAAAATGCAGAAAAGTAAATCTAAAAGAGATGGCAGGATGGGGCAGAGGCTCCAGGTGCTGGGTGTGAGCTAGGAGGTGGTACCTGAGATGGGGGCAGGTGGATATTGAGGATGGTCCAGGTGAGACAAGGAGAGAGTCAGGAGCGCTCAGGAAAAGAACAGCCGTGGGGAGAAGGGGCCTGACAGAGATCAGGACTGAGCAAAGGCTGCGGGGTTTTAGAGTTAGAATCTTTTCAGTCAAGTGAGGCAATGAGGAACTCATGGGGCTGGAGTCTGAGAACCTCTTCTCTGCTTCCTACCTGTGTGGCCTCAGAGAAGAGGATGGAATATGGATGATGACTCAGGGCTCTTCTAGATCTCTGTCCTGTGCCCTTCAGGCCCCCTTCCCAAAGCCGTCCGTGACTCTGCCAGCCCACGCTGGCCCCGTCTTCTCTGAGCTGCGCCTACACCTAGGCTCAGCAGCTCTTGCGACTCCTATTTCTCGCTGGTGGTTTCATGCACATTAGGATCATGGGTATGAGAGCCGGGAGGGCCCTTGCAGATGACCTGGCCCAGCCCAGGAGGAATCTGACCCTCAGGAGGAGAGAAGACCTGCCCAAGGTTGCACAGCCATTTAGGCACAGGGCTGGGGTTCTCTGACTCTGAACCATTGGCCTCTGGCTGCCATGAGCTCTGTCTTGCTTCACCTCAGAGGATTAGAAGCCCTTGGGAACAGAGTAGGCTTGGATTGTTTCATCCCCAGCACCTAGAAGGGTCCTGGACGCTCAAGAAATGCCGACAGGTTGGTTAGTGACTTTAATACTAGAGGAGATTCACAACTGTCTCGGGGTGGGGCCGTGGACAGCAGGCACGTGGCTCATCGCACGTCCTCCCCTCAGAGGCGGCGAGCCCACTGGGAGGTCACTTGCCAAGGTTGGGCTCCCGTGGCAGAGTCACAGGGAAACATGAAGGAGGCTTGGTTCCATCAGCCTTCCCTCGTCCTCGAGGTCGGGAAGGGGAAGGCCTGCCACCCTCCTTCCTCTCTGAGCACTGGGTTTGCTCCTCTGTGATCACCAATGAGAGTTCTCTGCACTTGTACCTGATCCAGGAGCTTTGTCTCCCAGTACCCAGCCCAATGCGTGGTACCAGTAATTAATAATAATAATGATATTTATATAACTCTAAGGTTTACGAAGCACATTACAAATATTACCTCATTTGATCCTCACAATAATCCTGGCAGGGAAGTGCTATTATTATCACCCCCATTTTCCTGATGAGGAAACTGAGGCTGGGAGCTGTTAAGGGACTTACCCAGAGTCACACAACCTGTAAGTGCCTGAGGCAGGCCTTGATCTCATCTTCCTCCAGATCCATCACTGGACACCCCGTAGCCGGCCTAATTAACGTTCCCTGGTGTGTCGGCTGAATGAGTGGATATTCACCTTCAACAGTCCTTGATTTCAGCCTTTGTGTTAACATTTGTAATGTACTCCCCCTTCTCTCGGCAGTTCCGCGTATAGGCCACGTGCGTTGGTCCACTTGGATAATAGCGAGTACTGGTCCAACCGAGCAGCAGCGTATAAAGGAAAGTCCCATCGAGGCAACTTTGAGAACAGCATGGACAAGATCTATAGGAACTTATACAGGAAAGCCTGCGGTTCCAGCACCCAGGAAAGCTTCTAACGACACCCGCAACAGACTGCGTGCCCATGCCTGCTTCCCAATGAAATCTGTTCATAGAACCACTTTCTGTGTCTGTTTTCTGCCGGTGGAGGGCAGCCCGGAGCAGGCATGGGGAGGGAGAGGTCGGTCTGGGGGTAGGCCGGGGCGTAGCTGGGAGGGTGCCGTACTCCACCCTGGCGGCCTACCTCCTCTGCCTGACTGCCCAAGTGCAGAGGCCACTGGGCTCTGAAAACATTCCCTTGCCTCTCCTTTGTTACTGTCAGGAAAAGTCCTCCAGATAAGATGTCAGGACTGTGTGCCCCCAGTTCCCCTGGCCTCAAGGTGTTCTGACACGTTCGTGGGCCCACCCATAGGGCTGCTCCCTTTGCCAGTGCTGATGCCTCTCTCGTGGTTCTTATCATCTGTCCTGTCGAGGATACCCCATGGTCTGGAGACTTCCTCCTTGTGTCCCTGGGGCTTCCCCATCTTGTCCCAAGATCTCCCCACATCTCACATCCACCACGTCCTCTGCTTTGGGGTCTGGGGTCCTGGCCCCGGGGGGAGGCTTGGGGGAGTCTGACTGTGTCAGCATGGACCATTCACTCCCCCGGTCTGTGTGACCTTGGGCAGGTCCCTTCCCGTCTTGGGCTGAAGTTTGCCCACCTGCCCAATGGAGATGGACCAAATGATCTCTAAGGGCGCTTCCAGGATCGCTCCAGGGACGCTGGTCATCTTGTGCATACACCTCTGCAGGCTGCGCTCATGTCCAGCGGTGGCCCGTTCCTGACTTACTGGGGAGGACTCACCTGGGTCAGCCGTCGGTGGGTCAGAGCCATCCCCCTAGCACCCCCAGAGCTGAGGACACACTCGGGTCCTGGGAGGGGGAGCCCCCCCTTGCCCTCCCCACCCCCCAGCAGCTCGTCCCCAGGGAGCCCTGAGCAGGAGGACGGTTGGACAGTTCTCTTCCTCCAAGGGCTCGCTCCTGGCTGCAGCCTGGGAAGGTGGACGAGGAAGCGTATGCCTAACAGCCCTCGCCGTGTAACTCGTGGAAAATGGAATCAAAGCTGAGAAGCATCCCAGAAGTCATTTAGTCCTGAGAATAGGTGCCCAGCGTCCCCCACCCCCACCCCAAAGACCAGCAGTGGTGTGGATTCTTATCTGCCTACAGAGAAGCAACCTGTACTTGAGAAAGCTCTAATTGTTAGGCAGTTTTTCCTCATGTGGGCTGCAGGTGGCGCCATAGTGCACAGAGTGCCAGCCCTAGAGTCAGGAGGACCTGAGTTCAAATGTGACCACAGACACTTACTAGCTGTATGACCCTGAGCAAGTCCCTTAACCCTGTTTGCCTCAGTCTTCTCATCAGCAAAATGAGCTGGAGAAGGAAATGACAAACCACTCCAGTATCTTTGCCAAGAAAACCCCAAATGGGGTCACAAACAGTCAGACATAACTAATTGACCCCCCAAGAAACATTCCTTATATCTTACTGTCTCTTAGCATCTGCTTATTTCCATTGCTTCTATAACAGTCCATCAACGACCTGAAGACACTGTTTCCTTCACCAAATTCTCCTATGGCAGTCTCAAGTCTCCATCCATCCTGATTGTCCTCCCATAGGTGCTGTCCTTTCTGTCAGTTTCCTTCCTAAGATATGGTGCCCAGAACAACACACAGCACTCTAGACATTGTATAATCAAGGCAGAGTACAGCAATGCTCACCTCTCCATCAATCTGGAAACTGTGGAGAAGCCTGGAATCACATGGGCTTTGGGGGTTGCCTTATCACCCCGCTGACCGACATTTTGAGGTTGTAATCCACTTGGCTCTCAGACCTTTCTCACAGCCATTGTTGTCTGGCCATGCTTCCCTAGTATAGTTGATTTCTTGGTCCCCAGTTTAGGTCTTTACATTTATTCCCATTAAATTTCACTTTGTTAAATTCTAACACATCGGGATCTTTTTGGATTTGGCTCAGTCATCCGTCATGTTTGCTATCCATCCTTGCTTCATGTATTCTGCCAGTTTGTTAAGCATGACATCTCTGCCACTCTGTTAAAAATATTGAGTAGCACAGAGAAAATTACAGATCTGTGGGACAGTCCACTAGAGACACACCTCTAAGACAACATTGACCCATTGACAACTCTGAGGCCCTGTCATTCAACTCTTTCCAAATCCACTTATCATCATCTGTCACATTTCTGTTCATCTTGTCCAGAAGGATACTTCATACAAGCATGCTTAGCTGAAATCCAAGTACTTCCTGTGTCTCTGGAACTGTGTTGGTCTAGTAATTTGGGAACATTGTCCCAGTTTGATGCATTTTGTTTTGCTGTGTGATTCACATGGCCATAAACAGCCCCCTTGCCATCAACAGTACCTTCTCATAGAACTGCCTAATATAGCATAGTGACTCATAGCCCACGCACTTTGTGTTCTCAGAGCTGACCAAAATTTCTTAGCAGAAAAGAGGGAAGTGTGTTTTAACCTCAGGCCTATGTAAACAACATTGGCCATTGTATTTAATCTGATCTCTTCTGTCTTTTAGTCTTCACTGATATTATTGACATCATTTTCTTTATTATTTTGGGGTTCTGCTTTATTTTGCCTAAGTTCCTATGAGTCTTCAAAGCTGAGTTCTGTAAATTCTTCAAATTTGTCATTCCTCCTGTGGCAAAGTACTGTTGCACCATATTCACATATCATGATTTGTTGGGCCATCCTTTGGTCATTTGACATGTAATCTGCTTCCAGTTTTTTGCTGCTACAGGTAGCTGTCATGAATCATTTGGTAGATATGGGACCTTTCTTACTGTTTTTTTACTTCCTTGGGTTATAACCTAGTTTACAAGATGAAAAGATATGAGCAGTTCAGTAACTTTTCTCATGTAATTCCTAGTTGTTGTCCAGAATGGTTGGACCAATTCATAGCTCCATCAAGTGTTACTGTGTCCCTTCAATGTTGACTATTTGCATCTTTTACCATTTTGCCTATTTCAGAGGGATGAAATTGTTTTAATGACATTTCTCATAATAATCTGGAGCATGTTTCCATAATAACGTCTGCTTTCCTTCTTTTGAAGACTTTAGAGCCTTTGACCACTTATGTATTGGGGGATGAATTTTTAGTCATATATTTGTGTTAATTCAGTATAGATTTTGGATATCAGACGTGAGAATTGTTTGATGCAAAGTTTTACCCCCATTCCATAGCTTTTCTTCTTATTCTAGGTGCATTGATGTTGTTTGTGCTAAAGCTTTTTCATTTTACATAATCGGAATTATCTGTTTTGTCCTTCATAGTCTCTTGTCTATCTTGTTATGATTCCTTCCCATCCATAGGTTTATATGTGTGTGTATATATATATATATATATTATATATAATATTACACATACATTTGCACATATATGTGACTTTGCATTATGATCTGTCTTTTGTAATGATGTGGTTACATTTCCATTTAGATTGTTCATTCATTTGAAATGTCTCATGATGGGTGACGAAGGATGAAAGACAGTGTGGTGGAATGACTGGAGAGCCAGCGGCAGGGCCAGGAGAGCCTGGCCCCTGCCGGTGGTGTGGTCATTGTCGGGTCACCTGAACTCTCAGTGCCCCTAGACAGTTCCCGAAGACTCAAGTCCCAGGAGAGTTGTGACCTGCATCAGTGGAGGGAGTTTACATACCGAGAATCTGCCAAATCGATGAAATGATGGGTTGGGGCCCAGGATAAAATGAAGACGCCGGTCTCTGAATGATTTTCTGACGCATTTCTCCAGGTTTCCCAGCAGTTCTCTTCCGATAGAGATCTTTCCCGGGGCGTGGATTAGCACCCGGCTGCTGTACAACCTGGCCCCTCCTTGGTGGGGACATTCTGGTTTTCTGATGATTTTCCTTTTCCAGATGTTCTGTTAGAACCCTTTTAATACTTTTTAGAATTTTGCCAGAAATCAAAGCCACTTCCGTGGTTTGCGGGTTCTGCCTTTTCCTCCCCATCTCCAGAATTAGAGCATTTGCTCTCTAGGCCCGCGCACTGCTCCCATTCGCCACAGTCTCCCGGAGGTCGCTGCCCCACCACCTCTCACTTCCACCAGTTCTTCCAGGAGCTCAGGGCACCGCTCTTCACAGCCCAGTACCCGGCACTTCCGAGGGCAGCCAGGGCCGACTTTCTCACAGCTGTGGTGGCAAACCAGCGTCCTCCTTGCCCAGGCTGACTGCCGTCCTCCTCGGGAGAGAAGAGGGGCCAAGCAAGGGCTGATGAGGTTTGCCTTCTCACCGGCATCACTTATCACCCCCTTAACACTAAGCAGTGTGTGTGGCCCCGGCCCTGCCTTGACTTATCTTCTGCTGCTGAAGCCACGAAATACCCTGAGTGAATACATCTGCATGGAGACCGCTCGGCCCCCTGCCCCCATCTCTCTGGCAGGAATCTGAGTGCAGCCTTTCGTGGCATTCTGAAGATGATGGTGACAGGGACAGAGAGGAAGAGAGGCATCATGAATAAAACGTCTTCATTTGAATTTGTCAACATGAAAAGACTTCAAACTTTCATAATAAGTGTATTGTAATATGGTAATTTTGTATAACCAATTTTCAGTGTGGGCCTATTAATTTGTTTCCTTCCAGGGATATCATTTTAGGGGTAGAACCTCCTTTGATATCAGTCCTATATCACAACCAAAAAGAGGAAGTGAGACATAATGGGTAGAGCTGACCGTGGAGTCAGGAAGATGATTTGGATTTTTTAGATCCTGCCTCTGAAGCAGATGGACGCACAGCCCTGAGCAAATCACAGAACCTCTCAGGCCAAGACGCAACTCTGTAGGATTCCGGGAGCTAGCTGATGGAAAGTTCCCTAAACCGATGAAATCATGTCTGCACTCCCCAGTCCCCTCAAATTACAGTCAGAGTATGTGCTCACTTTGGGCTCTTCATGTGGCTAAATTCAGATTTTAAAAACCATGGGTTTGCTGTAGACCCCTGCCTTTGTTCAGGTGGAGAGGTCTTTCCTGGATGGAGAGCTATTAGGATCTGAGGATGGGATT